CTTTGAAAGAAAACTTTGCACTGCAGAGTAAAGACAAGAGTTGCATAGCTTGTTGTATCTCACTAACACAAGATTTCTGAATTACTGTTCTTCAGAAGCTACTGGTAAGAAATCTGTTACTTCAACACAAAAACCTGGAGAGTGTCAGCGACTAAGCAGTTTGACTTTTGGATGCTTTTCAAATAGAGCAAGAAGTCCACAACCATCGCCTAAGCATGAAGAAACAAGCAAGGTTTCACTTAAAGAGTCAGACTACCCTGAAGGCAAAAACATGCCAGGTACCTTGTAACCAACACTGCCATTTTATTCTGACATGAGTGGGAAACTAAAATCAGCAACTCTGTCAGTGCATTCAACCAGCTCTTTTCAAAGTGCATACCTCTTCACTGCTACTCTTCTACTACTAGGAAGAAATCATCCCGTTGAGCACTACAGTCTTTGTAACAGCACTAATACATTATTTGGGAGCATGCAGAGGCTCCTGGGTGCTTTGGCTGTGAAGTAAAGATGTGGTTGTGACCTTTGTTGTTGCTCTGATCCTTCACTCAAATCTCTTGTACTGTTTATGACCTCAGTATTTTCTCCACAGTTAATCATGGTATCCAAAATGGCAAGCTGAGGTCTTTTGAAAATCTGAAACTGAAAGAGATCCTAGGGATATTTTGTGTACTTAAATTACAGCAAGTTCATTACTTGGTGGCTCTGTATTATTACTTCTGTTTTTACAGAGGAGGGAATCGAAGTAAGAGTGATTTTTTTCAAGGGAAAGGATAAGACATAGAACCTTAGGCTTGTGTAGATGGAAACAGATGATTTTGGGGACTTCATTACTTTAATGTGGCTGAACTTGAAATCTTTGTCTTATTCAGTCTACTTTAACTTCACGCAGGTATTTAACACAGACTCTTCCAAGGGTCTGTGTAGAAAAACCCTAGTTCTTGCATCTGATTTAATTTGGCAACATGCAGGCCTCACTAATATGTTGCAAGCTATAGCTCTCTCTTGCAAAACTAGGTAAAAGTGAAGAGCAGAAACAAAGCTATTTTTAACACAGTGTCTTTCCTGAAGTACTTTCCATGAGACTCTCATTCACTCCTGTAAATGCTTAGACTCTCTCTAAGCATTCATTATTTGGAATACAATAATAGCTTCCAGAATAAATTTCTGTGTATAAACACTGTAGTAATGCTCAGAGTACTTGATTTGTTAATGAAAATCCTTTCTGACAAGCTTTTATTAAACTTTAATTTTCCTTAAATTTAATAAAGCATCTAAATTTGTATGCCCTCTTTAGTATTTGGCTTTTTTTAGTTTTATTTGTTTGTTTGTTTTCAAACGTATATGGCTTATTTTAAAATATGGCTCCAATCTGCTTATCATTATACTTATTGCCATTTTTATTTCAGGGAGAACTTTGAGTAACATTTATTACTGTTTTTTGGGCAAACATAATTTGCATTCAGTCCCATTAAAAAGTTTATCGTTTTTTCTTAATTTTTATTATTTACAATATTAAAACAAATGTTCTCACACGTTTCAAATTATTACCTACTTACTACTTGCAGGCATGATGACAAAACCATTTATCAGTCAAGTTTGCTAAAATAATTTTCTCATGTTCATTATGTCTCATCCTTTAGAGAAGGATGTCCTGGAAACTACCTTTGCTGGTCCTGTACACGAGACAAATAAAGGTCAGAAGTCATTGCAACAGAGTTCCTCTGAGCAGAACAAAAATGTGAGAACAAGCTGCTCATCCAAAGACATAGACAGTGACATGTCAAAGAACTCATGCACTACTGGGAGTGACTGGAGCTCAGATGAGGATGGAGGAGACAATAAAAGACTGAAATCCAGGTGTGCGTCAACTCTTTCAAGCCACACATCTGAAAAGAATGCAAGGTACAGTAGAGTGGAGAGTGAAATGTATTTGACAGCGTCTGACGACAGTAGTTCTCTCTTTGAAGAAGAGGGTTTTGATGTTAAGAGGACTCAGCAAAAGAAGCTATACTCATGGCAGCAAGGGTCCCAAAGAAAAGGCCTGAGCAATCTGGGTGGAAAGTGCAACTCTGACTTCACAAGGAAAAAGAAAGACCAAGATAGTTCTTCGGATGAACTGAATAAGAAATTTCAATCACAGAGGCTTGATTACTCATCCTCATCCAGTGAGGCAAACACCCCAAGTCCAATCTTAACCCCTGCTCTGACACCCAAACACCCAATTCTAGCAACTTCTGCAGGTTCTCAGGGCACAACTCCATCTGATTTTCCCTCAAATTTGCCACATCCAAAGTTACGGACCCCTAATGTCTTCAGTCTGAATTCAGTGTTAGCAAAGAAACACCTAAGCCAGCCCCAGCTGAGTTCTGACAGAATGTTTGGGAGAAATAGAAATGCCATAAGCATGATCCGTCCATGGAGACCTCAGGAAACAGACATAGATCTGGTGGATGGAGAAGAGACCGGTATTTTAGAGAAAATGGAGATTTGCTGTGATGAAGGAGTGTTTACCTATGACTGCACTGAAGCACAAGATGCTGAAGCCCAGGAACTTTGTGATACAATGAAAAAAGGTACTAGCAACAAACCTCCAACACCTCCATTGCATCGATTTCCTTCCTGGGTAAGTGTACTTGCAGATATTTTCCCTACTGAAAAAACTAACTTATGACTCTCTCCTATGATTTTTGTTTCCTCTATTTTGATTACTTTCTGTTTAATGACAATACAGGGCATTACCTTAGTCATAACTACAAACTCAGAACTGGTTTTATTTTCAGTGCAGTATTTCTGCCATTGAAAAACATGGTCTGGTCTCTATTTTATAGATAAACCCAGGGTTTTTTTCATGTTACATCTAAGTTAAGTAGGTCTTTTTGAGTGTATCCAAGGATGCAATGCTTGTGACTGCATTTATTTATTCATCTAAACTCTTAACACAGCCCAAGAATGCTGGTGTCAATTCCCTTGCTGTAATCATTGTACCAATAACAATCTAGACAATTAAGTCAACAGCAGACAACTACAAATTACAGAAGTAATTGATCATATTTCCAAGTAAAATTTTAAAGCTATCAGTCAGGATATTAAAATAGATATTAACATGTCTTACAAAAAATCCAGAATTAACTGTGTCAAGACTTAAATAAGCAACAGCCCATTTCTAGTTGATTCATCAGGATCTGAGAAAGAAGACAGCTCTTGGTCCAGCTCTGCATTTTCAGTGTCAGAGATGTTTTAATTAACAATTTATTAAATTTATTATTATTTGTTTATTATTCAGGAATGTATAATACGTTATGTAGCAACTTCTCTGTATATATATATTTTAGTGAGCTTTCTGCATTATACTTTTCTTATTGTAGCCTTTTAACACAAAATTCTAGTGGCATTTTTCTGCTCCTAACACACAGTCTTCCATTAAAAAACATTCTTGCTATAGCTTCTTTGGCACCTGATAATAGTATTTTTAAGAATAAGTTACTTACATTGTATGAGAAACAGTGGAAAAGGCTATGGCTATGATGTGTACAGCATACAAAAGAAGGATGCATTTTTCAGCTGCTATTGACAATGTCATTTTATGAACCATTTCATCACATAGTTGCACTAACACAAAGAATAGGAGGCTAAACAGAACAAAAGTAATTGTTGTGTTTTAATTATCTACTATCAAATCCATTCTGCTTGTATAGGAAAGTAGAATTTATGCTGTCGCCAAATCTGGTTTAAGGATGTCTGAAGCCTTCACCATGGAATCTCTTAATAAAAGTAAGTGATTTAGTTCTTCATTGTCCTATCGACAAAAGTTCTAATCTTATGGTGATATGAGCAAGGACCTTTAAAATATATTTAGAAATATTTAGTTACCAGCTATTTAAAACCTAGAAGACATTTATCTTTCCATTGTCTTCTGATACCTTACATCTTGACTTTGTGCTGAATTTGTACTTTGTTCAATCCAGTTTACTTTGCATTTCACTACTTTGGAGATTCTATACCAGGTACCTGTTCAAAAAGGACTAGTGTTCATGACTGCAATTTTATTTGTTTTTAAAAGCATTGTAAATTTCAAAAAGCTAAAAATATCACATCCAAATCAGTTCAGAAGTTAATTTGCTTTTTACAGCAGCTATACAACACAGAAAATACGAAATTTGAATTGGTTAATTGGGGGTGAATTAGGAAGGCAATTTATAAAATATGTTTCTTTTTTAGGTGCTGTTTCACTAACCTCGTGCTCCGTATCTGGATTATATACTTCTCTGATATATAAGAACATGACCACTCCTGTCTACACCACTTTGAAAGGGGTAACTGTATGACTGTTAAAAGAAAATTTTTAAATATCATTAGGGTTGGTTACATCCAGGAACTTGCTATTTTACATTTGATACTACCATGCCAAGTATGTTTTAAGTTGATGTACAGAGATCAAAGACCCCCAGAAGTAATAGAAATGTCAAATAGCTGGGGAAAAAAAAAATACTGCCTATAAAATGTTAGTGGCCTAGGTCAATTCTTCTTAGGTTCCTTGCTGATTTTTTCCCAAAGGCTTGTTAATTATTAAACAGAACCACATGGAGTTTAATGTCATAATTAAAAGTGTGTGTATGTGTAGAAATGTCTTTGTGTCAGTGCCAGAGCTGTTTCTAGTCACACAGCCAGCAGTCAGTAATCACAGCATTGTTTGTTTTCTGGCAGCCTTTTACGATTTGGAAAGACCCATGCCTTGAGCTATCTCAGGTTTCTGTTTTAAAGTATGGGTGTGGTTGAGTACACAGAGGGTAGAGGGAATTCAGTTTCATGTTAATATTTGTGTGCCAAAACTCACAACCCAGGCAAGAACAGCTTTGAGTATTATGAAGCCAGCAGAGCCCTGCCACAGTATGGAGGAAATGACTGATACCCTTTATGCATGTATCAAAGGGTGTTGTGTTAATTTCTGCAGAAAGCAACTCAAATAAGCAGCAGCCCATTTCTAGATGAGTCGTCAGGATCTGAGGAAGAAGACAGCTCTCGGTCCAGCTCTCGGACTTCTGAGTCTGATTCTCGAAGCAGAAGTGGTCCAGGGAGTCCTCGGGCTATGAAACGAGGTAGGCAAAACCGTAAGAACAAGTAACTTCTGGGAGCTTTGGAAAACAAGGCAGTTTACGTGATTTTCTTGGGAATTGATTTCTTCCTTTAACAGTATGGACATCTAAAATGTAGGCTCTCAAAGCCCAGATCTATTACTCAGTCAGGAGAAAGGACTGTTCTAGATGGCTTTTTTTTAATTGCTGTTATTATAGGTATCTTTTTAAGGCATTAATCTTGTAGCTGGCTGTTTACATGGGGGGAAAGTGACTTGTACATTTAAAGCAAGAAGCACCACTCTATGCTTTGTCATGCCAAGGACTTCCTGTGACTTCTAACTATAGAAAAATAAAAATTACATAGAAAAAAAAAATTGCCATGAGAAACCAAACACACATATATTCAGGTTTATAAAACAATTTCATTTGATCAGAAAGCAGGTGGAAAAGTTCCCTCAATAAATTATTTGGTTCTGTTTACCTCATGCAATAAAATACTTCTTTTATTTTTACGTTGATTGTCTTAAGGTCCCGTGCAAAGATTTAGTTAGAACACCTAAATCTGGTAATGTCCTGTGTTTTGTGGAAGACAAATCCCACACTTGTAGTTGACTGTGTTTTCCATCTGCAAAATGGAAATAATATGCTTCATAATATTGAAAGATATAGTCCTCCCTCATTAGGTGACACTATCGGTGTTACATCTCTGTGAGTATTTCTTCACTGTGTAAACCAAGGGAGAACAAGATCCCAGTGAGGCCAAGTATTAAGATCCCTCATTACATATGGCTTTAGAAATGCTAAGTAAAATTATTCGGTAGTCTTAATTATACATGTAAAAATCACAGTTAACATTCCTTTTGTTCATGCTTCCTTGCCATAAAATAGTCCTTGTATTGTTTCATGTGTGGAAACCTTTCTTAACCACAAAACACACATGTACGTGTCTTTGTTGAGATCACATTCTTTAAAAATCTAGGCAGTCACACATTTCACCAAAAGCATGATTGGCTTGCTGCAATTTACTAAGAAAGATCCACCATGAGACTGAAAGTCTTGGTGGCTTACCAAAGCAATAAATGAGAAATGCCTTTTTTAAGAATAAAATTGGCAAATGACTTGGGAAATTATTGAAACAAACGAAAAAAGGCCTTTTAATTTCAGTTTTGGAGAGTATAACCTTGCAGAGTGGGGCACTAATCCTTAAAAAGAACACGTTTACATGCATGAAAATATTTCTATAATGAATGAGGGAAGAGTTTGAATTTTTATTACTGATTGACTAGAATTGAAAGTAGGGTGCATTTTTTTCAGGATTAAAGCTAATGAACTCTAAACCCCCCCATGAAATATGAAAATCTAACCTTTAGAAAACCTTGGTATACAAATTCTTACTAATTGTGAAACACAGTCACCTACAGCTTCAACACGGAGCAGATGTTAAGTGTGACTTCTTAGTATGCAAGCAGTTGCCTGAGAAATCCAGATGCTATAGTGAGTGAGAGAAAGCTCAGGGGTTTTTTTTTCTTTTTCCATTTACAAGGGACTTTAACTGTTTAATTATGAATAAAATGATACTTAGCACCGTGCTTATAGTTCAGGGTGCTGATACTTTAAAAAATCCTTGGTTCCTGATGGATTTATGCTGATACTTATGTTTGCCTGCAGGTTCTATTTAGACATTCTTTTTGTATGGCTATTCTGATCTCAGTTGTTTCTAATGTAAAAAAAAAATATGTAAAGAACTCTCTTTTACTACAGGTGCATCTCTGTCTTCTGTGACCTCAGAAAGTGACTATGCTATTCCTCCAGATGCATATTCAGTAGACACAGACTATTCAGAGCCAGAGCAGAAACTTCTTAAGACCTCATCCTCATCTAGTGATAATGGAAAAAATGTGAGTACTGAAGTTCTGTGAAGAAATGCACCTGAGGTACTGTGTGTATATTTATGTTCAAAGGCTGCTACCAAACCTTTTCATTCAGTCTTGCTGGCTCACAGGCTGCCTTATGAGTACAAACAGCAAAATACACCAACAATGTTAGCCAAATAAGACTGTAATTAGTGAAGGAAAGGAGAAGATAATTCTAAGCTTTCCTATATAATGAATGAAAAATAGGTCAACAATGCCAGAATACAATTCAAAGTACTTGAGATTTCCTTTCTCGGAACCAGGCATCAGATTGCATATGAAATACTCAAAACAGTTTAAAATTATTATTTGAATAGTCAGGTAAATAGAAGGGCATTCCAAGAAGGAGCTGAAGTCATCAGTGGAAATCTGTGTGCAGTAATAAGTTTCTGTCCTTTCCTCATACAGGGAAAACATCAGAGAAATCCTAGGTAGAGTAATATGTGAAGACAGGCCAAAGAAACCAAAGCATTATGAGGTATTGGTCATCCTCCAGGAGCTTTTTAATGGCTTGTGTTAGTAATTGGTGTCTTAACATACAAGTGGATTGACTACCTGCTGATGAAGATTATTTTAAGCTTTCTTTACAGAGTAAAACTGTGAACTCTGTTCTGCAGATGTACATACTAGAGGTTTGTCTGTGAGGAGCTCAGAATTAGTCTTTATATATGGTTTTCAGGTTAGGACCTGGACTTGGGAAAAAAGAATAAATTTATCTTTGATTCATCTTGTTCCTTGTTTAGTATAAACAACTAGAAAGTAAAACCAGAAACCATCATATTCTTCATTCTTATGAATAGTTTGGGGCATTTACTCTTCTTCATGTGCTATAACAGTAAGTAAGGATATTCATTAGTTATCCCATGTGCATGATATTTGTCTTAATTGATGCTTGTAAAAACATTGTCCTTGGATTAAAAGTCTCATCAAATACTGTAATTATTATTTAGCATGCTTTTAAGTCAGTAACATATCTCAGTGTGTCTACTTAGGCATATTTCTTAGGGGCAGAGGTATATATGTGTATCTAACCACTTTTTATCTAACTTCTAAACAACCAGGAACCTTTGGAAAAATCTGGATATCTGTTAAAAATGAGTGGTAAAGTAAAGACCTGGAAACGACGGTGGTTTGTGCTTAAAGGAGGTGAATTGCTGTATTACAAATCTCCAGTAAGTACATGTAACTTGCCTGTTGTTTTGTATTAGATTGTTTACTGATAATCTATGGCTGCTAGAAGGAAAAAATTGCACTTCTGGTTTCTGAGCTGTTAGAGAGTGATTCCTTGCCATAAAATCTCATTTCCTCAAGAGGTATACAAGGTACACAATGTCTAACTAGAAAGTATTTATCAAGATTAATGTTTAAATTAGTCCTATATTAATTCATTGCTATTTGTTGGTAGATTTAAAATACTCTTTCTCCATTCTTCCCATACAGAGTGATGTTATTCGAAAGCCTCAAGGTCAAATTGAGCTAAATGCATCCAGCCACATTGAAAGGGGTGATGGAAAACAAACAATTCAGGTGCCTTCTTTTCTCCTCTCTTGCTGTTTCAGCATTCCCTCCATCCTCAAAGCCAACCTCTTGTTCCAGTCCCTGTGGCACTGGAAGTCCAAGTGTAGGCTTGAAATTAAATAATCAGTGCCTTTTATTTGAAACCAAAGAATTGTTTCAGCGACAGAAAATATAAAAAAGCCTAACTTGCCACAAAGTTTAGATCATCACATTTGGGATAGAAATAAAGAGAGCAGTTGTGGGGTCAGCCATTGGGGTAGAGATAATTCATTTGTCTGAAAGGAGAATTGAGTTTTCTCAACTTGCCATCCTGGAAATTTCCAGATAAAGATTTATAAAGTCTCTCTGTCTGGTCATGGAATGTTTGATTACTAAAAAGTACTTTGGGGAAGATAAACTTCCTGAAGTTGTGAAGCTACATTGGGTGGTGTATGTTACAAATCCTACACTGGGGGGTCAAATATGTCGAGTTCTTGAAGCTCAAGACTCTTTGTTACTACACAGCTGACCACAGAGAAACGAACATACTACCTGACTGCAGATTCCCCCAACATCTTAGAGGAATGGATCAAAGTACTGCAGAATGTTCTTAAAATACAGGCTGCCAGCCCACTCTTCGTACAGTCTGAAATCAAGCCAACCATGAAAGGATTACTAACAAAGGTAAGAAGACACTTCTTCCCCCAGTCTGCTTTATTCCAACACTGTTTAGGCCAACACTGGCCTTACTGTGCTTTAAATGAGGATCTCATCAATGCTGTAATTCTTATGCCCTTAATAGAGTTACGCAGTTTTAATTTTATTTCTAGTAATGTGGACAGGAATTTGAACCAAGACATGCATTTCCAATATCACCAAATTTCAGAGATGGTGAAAATAGTCAGTATTTCTCTGTCTGTGATTATTACTGATGTTCTGTAATTACAGGTGAAACACGGATATTCCAAAAGGGTTTGGTGTACCCTAGTTGGAAAAATTCTGTATTACTTCCGAAATCAAGAAGACAAGGTAGGTCCCTTTCTTCAGAAAATGTGTACTTTAAACAGTAACCTACAGCTTTATTAAGGTACAGTTTGCCTTAGTATTACACAGATTGTAAACTTGGAACACTGTAATAGCCAGCAATCCAGATCACACCCATAGGTCTCCTTCTACAGGATGTGATACATACTATGGATGTTATCCATACCTGAAGGTGGACACTGGTTTGCCTGGAGTTCAGGTGTCCCTTTCTGACAGGCATCAGAAAAGACCCAGCCATCATGTAGTTCTGGAATCAGACCCTTTCTTATGTCTCTTGCAGTGGGCAGTGACTGCAAGTTTCAAGAATTTAAATGTTCTTTCTGTCCCTCAGTTGACTTCCAAATCCTGGTCTTTGGTATGTCACTGTACATCCATAGTGCTGCAAGAGCTAGGACACTTCCTAGACATGACTTTCACCTGTCCCTTTGCTCCCAAGGCATTGTGTTTTGTATCAAGAAACACCTTTTTAATGAAGGCAGGTCAGAAACAGGATTTTGTACAGTCCACTGAGCCATTATTTAAAAAATCTGTAGAAATTCTCATATTTGTACTTCTGTTTTAAGAAGATAATCACACTGGAGCCAGTAATTCGTAGCTTTTGTAGAGAGCCAGTTACTCCCTTTGTCATCCTTTCCTTTTATAACCATTTTAAACCTCAACAAAACCCCATTTCTACAGCTATATGAATAAGATAGCAGTAACCATCCATCAATACATTTTATGTTAATTGCTCTTTAGAACAATGTGAAACAGGGCTTGGGAATCAACTTGTTAGAGTATTAAGCTCATCCTACAGAGACATTAAAATTAACTTAAAATTTCTCCTAGGGAAAAATCTCTATATTTAACATATCTTAATTTATACCTTTTTTACCACTGAAGACTTTGGCATTTTAGCATGCTCTTTAGTTACGAATTTTGCTGGATTCTTGTGAATATTTCCCTCACATCTGGAAGAAGTTTAGCTGCCCTTTTAAAATAAAATTGAAACTAATTTGCTAACTTGGAACAGAATGAGAATTCAGCTTTTGTAAGCAGAATATGTATGAAAAGTTTTCCCAAGCTACTTTATTTCTAATGTTCAGCAATATGCTAATTAAAATCATGTTTTCTGTAGCTGACTGTGTCTATGCAGAAATAAATTACACGATCTGAAGTGGCTGATACAATAATGGAGACCATTTGATTGACCTTTCAGAATGGAATTCAAACTAAAAAGTCAGCCAATTGTGTTTTAGTTAAACTTGGTGAATAAATCAGTCTTGACTACTTATATGTGAAATGACATCTTTTGATTCTCAGAATCTTATTCAAAAAGTTGAATGCTTCAGAAAATACAAATCACCACATCATTTTTTAATCCTTACCAGTGGTACTGTGGGAGAGAGTTTTGTGTAGAGTATCCAGTCAGCCTCTCTCAGTCCTATCACCCAGTTGTGAAGAGATTTCATGTTGTATTTATGTTTGTTGAGGCCTCCTGTGGATAAGAGCAATGAAATAATTACTTCTGTGAAAATTTCCTCTTAAGTGGCTTTTTTAGATAAAATATTTCTTGATAAATGAAATAACCACATAAACATCTCAACACTGAAGCTCTGTGATCTCTCAGACTGGAGAAAGAAACTAACTAGAAGGTTTATCACACAAAAAAATTACCTTTTAAATTTAGAGTATGAACGAATCACATGCATCAACAATACATTCCTCTCCTCTAAAACAACAAGATCCTAATTCAGGTTCTAGGCTTGACACAGGAAATTTCTGCTTGGAACCAGGTTTTGGAACTCTGGAGAATGACTTCTCTCACCCTAACATACATTTATTGCATTAGCTCTATAGAGGCAGACTTGAAAAAGAATTTTTGAAAACTTCATTTTCAGACTTTGGCACATATCATTCTCTATCATTTTGCTCTCTACAACATCTGGCTTGTCTGACGTTCCTTGGCAGGACTGAAAATGAGTAAATTCAAATGTGTATGGATGGTAGTTCATGTTTTAATTTCTATTTGCAGAATAAGAAAAAAAAAGTGTATAATAATAAATAAAATAATATATAATACAAAATTGTGGGCACTGAAACAAACATTACCTCTCTCACCAATATTTATATGTACTTTTAGTTTCCTCTTGGTCAAATCAAGATTTTTGAGGCAAAGGTTGACGAAGTTGATAGATCCTGTGATTCTGATGAAGATTATGAAGCCAGTGGTCGCAGTTTATTATCAACCCATTACACTGTTGTTATCCACCCCAAAGACCAAGGACCCACTTATCTTCTTATAGGATCCAAACACGAGAAGGTAATAAATGGATATTTTTATTGAGTTTCAGTAGCACACCTATGAGTATGGTGCTGTGTGTCACCTGGGTTGTATTTTGATACAATAAGGAGAAGGTTCTGCTTTATTAACATCAGTCAGAGTTTGTCTGCAAATCAATGCCAGTGTAGGTAATCCTTGTTAAAACAGACAAAAATATGCAGGCTTGCCTACATAAGTAGATGGTGGAGAATATGGTATATGCTAGAATGAGAATTTTGTTTACAAATAGTAATTTGTAGACAGAGCTGTATCTTAGAGATTATAGGGTACTGGTATCCGTTTTCACTGACGAGACTAATATAGCACAGACTTGCCCTACTGTAGTAAAGGAGCAATGAGAGAGGTGGGGTTAAAACCATTTTTTTTATTGTTGCCTCATTGTTCTTAAGTAATACTGTAGACCTTGTTTTGCTTTCTGGCCTTATCCCCAGGTTAGCAGGATTTGGCAGTGAAAAAAATTACTTATGTAAGCTTTTGGAAGAGGAAAGGAAGAGTGCTCTGATAATCAGACATGATTTCTGAGGGTATAAACTTTTGAAGAGAGCCCTGTCCAATCTTCCTTGCTTAATATTTGTAACATAAAGACTATGAATATGTGTTTATTCAACCAAAGATAGACTTCTTTGGGCTTCAAAAGGAGTGCATGGATTTCAAGTTGAGAGCAAAATCCTGATGAAGCAGCTCCCTTCAACGTGGAAAGAGTGAGCTGCTATTTTTTTCTGTTTTAGGACACATGGCTTTATCATCTGACAGTTGCAGCTGGAAGTACCAGTGTAAATGTTGGATCTGAGTTTGAACAACTTCTTTGCAAATTATTAAATGTGGAAGGTGATGCCAGTGAGTTTGTTTTCATTTAAACATACCGATCTTCCAATGCTTATTTAGTAAATGTACTTATGAACTGAACTAATTGCAAAATGTGTATATTTTATCTGTTTAGCTTCTCAAATTTGGAGACATCCTACCTTTTGCCATAGCAAAGAAGGAATTACCTCCCCTCTTACAACATTGCCATCAGAAGCCTTGCAAACTGAAGCAATTAAATTATTTAAGGTAAAACCATAGCAGAAGCCTTTTTTATTAACTGACTATTTTAACTCTTAGCTAAAGAATGGCTGATAGTTGAATGGCAGATTTTCAACAGATATGAAAAAGAAAACAGAAGTTCATTTTTATCTTTAGTGGAGGTAAGTAATGGATAGCACCAAATGTGCCCATATTACCTCACCAAAGACTGTAACTTCCAAATAAAAATGACCTTTAGTTGTGAGGGAGCAGTTTAGGCTTTCACTTTTGGTATTCCTACTTATTTGATAAGTTATTGATAAAGTTCAAGTTAGCAGAAAAATCCATGGCCATCAGGAGTGATAATAATTTTACCTTGAAGTTCATAGCTCCAAAGAATCTAACAGCATGGACAGATCTCTGCAATCAAAAAACTGTATCTGAGATACTATTTTTTCAATTAGATTCAGGAAAAAAATTGTAAGAAGAAGTTTTGTTTTAGATAGATTTAAATCATCTGGGAGATACTTTAAAAATCAGAAGAAAAAGTAAATGTTAAGTTTGGCAAATCATGGATTATTTGAAACTGAGATAGCAGGGATTGTACTGCTCTTTTTAATAAAAAGAAAATATTTTCTTATGAAGTAGCTATTCTTAAAAGACCAATTATTCAGTAATATAAATAAAGAAAATATTCCAGAGCAAAATTATTAAAAGTATTTTACAAGAGTTCTTTGAGTCTACTTTTAAAGATTCTCATAGATCTTTAAAAATACACGCATACAGATATATATATATATATACACACGTCCCAGTGTAGTAGAAATGCTTTATGATTAGGAGACATGTACTGGTCCATAACCACTGAGCCACAGCTAGGCTCTTGAGAAATTGCCTTACAGCTTTCCCAGTTGAAGGCCAGGTAGGTAGTTGATGCCTATGAGAGAGAGTATGCTGCAATGCCATTAACCTGCTTCCAGGCCATGAAGTCTATTTCAGAGACAAAATAATTTTTTTATGTTCCTTTGTACATTGTGATATAAATTACAAGTTGGAAGGTGTGGAGGGTGGATAAATGAACTTCCTCCACAAAACTTACACAAGTCTAAAGAAAAAATTCCCTGAAGCATCAACTATCTGGAGAATTTTGATGTTATGGTTCAGATCTAGAGAGGAATTCAAGCACTGTAGATTTAGTCATGGCCACTTTTAGGCAAACTTTCCAGCTTGTTTCTCTGGAATGTGTGAAGCACTTCAAAGAAGTTCTTCCATATTATTTTCTGCAATCCTGCAGCATGAAAATTTACAAGGAAATGTACTTCTTTGATACAAACAAATTTACATCTACTTGGAATTCACTTTTCAGACCTAATTCAAATCACAGACACTTGCCTAAAAGTAAATAAATAAGAGATTACTTTTATGACCTTTATTGAAACCTTGTATAAATCAGCTTAGAAGTCAGGTAGGGCATTTATTTAGAAATAGATCAAGTCATGTTTCAGTTAGCCTATTTATGATAAAAATAGACTAGAAATGGATTTGGCTTCCATCCAGTTCTTTTATTTTTTGCTTACATCCCTTAAAAATTCAACTGTTGTATACAGTAAATGCAATGAGTGATACATGTGCTTTCTTCTAACACAGCAGAACAAACGCTTAACATCTGGCTTTCCTGAGACAGTACTGAGTATAGAAAAGGTCACACTTAACCTACAGTAAAAATACCATGGAAAGCCAAGATGTAAATCAGTGGCTCTGAGATAGGGGTTTTTTATCTGTGTATATGTTGCTGTGTTGCACTCACTACTTACAGAAACATTTTATATTGTCTGGCACTGAGAGCTGTAGACATTGAATTTCCAAGTCCTGTAAGAGGGGTGAGCTGTGCTCAGCATGTCCTTAAACTTGCCTACCATCACAATTGTTCCAACTCCTGTTACAGTTCACTCCATTAAAAAAAAGCATGGGTTGTAGGAGGTGTTTTGTCTCAAGTCTCTCTGTATAGATTTTCATCCATTCTGGCCCCTTTTCACCCAGTTTTGCAGAACTAGCAGGGTTCTACCAGTAAACTTATTAATTGTGATTTCAGTTAAAGTACACTTTTGATACACAGAACATCTTAAAGATTTGTTGAAGCTCTCTTGTATGTAAACTCACTTGTTTATTATTTTATATCTAGACCTGCCAGTTGTTTATAAATGCTGCAGTTGACTCTCCTGCCATTGATTACCATGTATCTTTGGCCCAAAGTGCTTTGCAGATCTGCCTCACACATCCTGAACTTCAAAATGAGATCTGTTGCCAACTTATTAAACAGACCAGACGTCGACATCCACAAAACCAGGCAGGACCAATACAGGTAACCCAGTATTTATTTTAATGATATTGATTTTGGGAGCAATGAAGGAACTACGCGGAGTGTTTCAGGTGGTAAAGAGGCTCTGCTTTTCTGCAGCATCTGCTGAGTTAAGATCTAATTCACTGCTGCCATGTTTTCCTGAAACAGAGCTGATGCTATCCTCTAACAAAGTATGTGTATGTGATGGTAGAGTATATCTCTGCCTATGCTGTTTGTAAAGGGTGGACATAAAATGCGATGTCTTCAAGTCAAGCGCTAAGTAAGAATGTATGAAACATAATACTTTTTACTGCTTCTTTCCCAAGAGAGGTGCTGCTTCAGGAAGCTTGGTGGTCTAACTCACATGGCAAATGACTCAGTAGCATGAGTGTGAAGTAAAGCTGTGGTGCCATGTTGTGGAATCTCAGCTAAAGCTCAGGGCTTCTGGTAAATGTCCCCTCATGTGCCATGCTGTTCAGCATTCACCCTACAAGCTATGTTATTAATACATACTTGAAATTCTTCCCTTTGTCCACTGCCAGCTATTCACTGCTATCCAGATAGGAAATGAACTGGAATTGAAAGGAAAGCCAGTACTTCAAGCTTGCATAGAATTAACAGAACTGGAATATTACACTTGTGATAGAGCAATGCCTACAGAACTAGGAGATGGATCAGAACATGAGACAGGAAGTTACCATATCAAGGCTCCTGAAACAGACATTTTCTCTTGCCACAGAAAGTAGAACATGACCAGGAGCCATACCTATTGCCTAGAAACAGCCTGTATCTGCGAGAAGGCTGATGT